ATTTATAGGTGTAATTTTTGCTCTACCTGACGTGGAAATGTACCGAATACTCAGTACATTTGAAAACAACTACGAAAAAAATCGCAAGTTGTTCTCGGGTGGGACTCGAACCCACGATCTCCAGATCACTAGTAGTTGTAGTTGTAGTTGTCAGGTAGGGCAAAAATTACACCAATACATGTTTCTCCTGACGCAAATCCAGTTATTGTCTATTATTCCATCACGACAATAACAATTACTATCTATATATATATTTGTTATGCGAAACTAAATAATTTCCAATTGAAATAGATGTCATAATTGGGCATATATAGAAAAACCAATCATTAAGAACCTACTTACCTCCTCCATTTTCATAGCACAGGTATGGAAACCTCCACACGTTTCCCAATCCAACAGCATAGCCGAGACACGAGAGCAGGAAATCGACCTGATTGTCCCAAGTGCCTCTGCTGCCGTTCTCGGATGCAGTGCTGGAGTCTTCGCTAGAGGCACTCTCTGCTTCAGAAGTGGCATCCACACCTCCAGTACCACTTTCACCAATCGATGCGCTCTTGTCTTCAACAGGGGTGCTCTCAACATCCTGTTTGACTGGTGTTGCATCTCTGTCCCCAATCTTTCCAGTATGGAGATCCTGGCCATTTGAGGCAGCAGCTACACTGCTGATGATGGTCTCAATGGTTGATGAGACTATCACCTCGACAGGAGTGATTGGGATTACATCGTTGGTGATTGTTCCCTTAGCTGATGTGATTGTCACCGCTTGTCCAACGATAATGTCACTCTCCACCGTGACGGTATCTGTACCATGAGCCAATTCTAGTCCAGATTTGGAGCTCGTTGGTACCTCCTTGCCCTCCGACAATTGAGATTCAATGTCATTAGCAACCTATAGTTTAAAATAGATCAAATGCATCTGGATAAATAGATTTAAAGGGAACCAAAACCAAGAACTTAGAACAACATATAATAAATGAACAGGGACAACATTACGAAAATATGAATATTAAAGGTAGTGTACTAAAAATATAATTAATGATTAATAATAAAGAACGAATTCAATATAGATGGATGGATGGATGAATGAATGGATGAATGAATGAATGAATGGATGGATGAATGAATGGATGAAAGAATGAATGAATGGATGATTGATGGATGGATGGATTAATGGATGGGTGGATGGATGGTTTAATGGATGGGTGGCTGGATGAATGGATGGTTTAATGGATGGATGGGTTGATGGATAGGGATACATTGATGGCATGAAGGACAAAGGGAAGTATGGATGGATGATAGATAAATTGATGGCTTGAAAAATATAGGGCTGGTTACATAGATGGATGAAAAGATGGATGGATGAATGTTTATAGATGGATAAACGGATGGATGGATGGATGAATGAATGAATGAATGAATGGATGGATGGATGGATTGATTGATTGATTGATTGATTAATTAATTGATTGATTGATTGATGAATGGACGGATCGATGGAAGGAAAAATGGATAGATAGATAAATAGATTGATTGATTGATTGATCGATTGATTGATTTATGGATAGATGGATGGATGGATTAATAATGGATGGATGGATGGATGGATGGATGAATTAATGGATGGATATGTTTCTTTGCTTTATGGATGCATTGATGGATGGACGGATGGATGCATAGATAGATGGACACATGGATGGAGGAAAGGAATGATGGATGGATGGATGGATGGATGGATGGGTAAGGGTGGATAGATGGTGGATCGATGAATAGATGGATGTGTTAATGGTTATAGGTGGCCGGGGAGAATGTATGGATAGTTTAATCGACAGATAAATGGCCCGAATGAATGGATGGACAGATTGATGGATGAACCAATGAATGAATGAATGGATGGATGTATAGATGGATGGACCCATAAAGAAAGAAAAAATGATGAAAAAATGAAAATACTTACTTGTTGAACAATGCTATAATCTAGAGAAACGGCAATTCTAGTCGACATGTTAATGAATTAAAATGAATCACAATTATCAAGGGAGGGCGGGGCTCGTCCAGGCCTATACCTATCTAAAAAAATGGTATTATAAGTATCTAAATTGAATAAAAAGGAAAGCTAAGCAAGGCTTTTGGTTATGCATGGACAGGTCAGTGGTTTAGGAAACCTAATGCAATTAAATTGTATTACAAATAAATAGGCTAGCCTATTTTATTTAAGTCCGTTTTGACTAAAAGCAAGATCGACTTATGCAAGTCTCATAAGGCAGGAGGGGTAACTTTTGTCGAGATCATCCGATAAAAGAAGCGCTCCAATCGTATCTTAACATGAGCTCAGAAGAAAACAATAACGCACACGCACGCTCTGACTAATGCGTAATTATTTTTCACTGTTTCATTCATAAACTAACTTCTGTAAAAAAAAATATATTTTAAGTTTATAACGTCACTTACCAGTGCTACTTGATGAGAATGAGTCTTAAATATCCAAGACATTGTAATAATAATTAATTCATTTATATTTCGTTTGATTAAAACAATAAACTTATTACAGCTTTGTTACTTTAAGAGAACAAAACGGGTAGCCAAAGCAGAAATGTGAACGCGTATCAACAAAGCGTTGTCACGACAATAATGTGGCCATAGATTTTAGTTTCTGCGTATGTCTCGCAATGGACCTTTCCGCTAAGCCCCGCCCCTTGGATGTTGTTGCTAAGGTCCCACAAGGCGACAGTGTTAAAACAGGCGAACACGTGCGTTTGTGGGACAACACGTGTGTTTGTGAGACGCGCGCGTATTCCTGGCGCTGTTCTGATTAGTCAGTTGTTAAGTTTGATTGACACTCCGGAAAGGTCTATTCGCTTCGATACCAACCCAACATTACGCTCGCATCATGAACGCACAACGATACCTACCATGGAGAGAGAATAATACGCGCGCATGAATGGACGCAATGCGAATTCTTTACATTCATTTTTATTTATGCATAAAATAGCTTCTTAAACCTATTTAAAGTACCGGTATATAATGCCACTTACTGGTATTGTTTGATGAGAACAAATGTTAAACATCCAAGACATTTTGCAAAAAGTAAAATTATATCTGCTTTGCTCTAATTATAAAAACCAAATCGGTAGCCAAAGTAGTAGTAGCTATGTGAGCGCGTATCAACAAAAGGGTTGTCACGACAAAAGGGTTGCCACCGAACGTCAGTTTCTGCGCATGTCTTACACATGCGCATCGTAACGAAGGAATAATAACGCGCTCAGTGATAAACGCGCGAAGCATTCTTCACTTTCAATCCTTTATACATAAACTAGCTTTATAAATCTATTTGAAGTATATAATAACACTTACTGGTGCTTCTTGATGAGAACAAATGTTAAATATCCAAGACATGTTGATTAGTTTGATAATAACAACAAAATTATATCAGCTTTGCTCTACTTATGCAACTATACCGCCGGTTGCCCAAGTAGCAGTAGCAATATACGAGCGCGTATCAACAAATCGTTGTCAGGACACAGTCGTTGCCATCAAAATGTTAGTTTGCGCATGCCTTGCACATGCGCACTGATACTACGTCCTAAGTATGTGTGACATGTGCGAAGAAATACACAGGATATTTTGTTGCTTTTAAGAAAATTAACTGTTGGTCAATTATTAACTTGTTCGAAACGTCTTTCGTGCTGCAGCGGAGATCATGGGGAAGGGACGTCACCCACAGTACATAAATTTGAAGGCCGATTTTGAGAAGGTAATTTGAGAAATCATCAAGAAAATGCCTTAAAAGTTCTTGAATCGAACTGCATAATCACTCAGGTTTTAACGAAAGAGCGTTGTACACCCAGAGTACATGAATTTTAAGCAGTTGCGGATCCAGAAAAAAAAAAGGATGGACGGATGGATGCATAGATAGATGGACACATGGATGGAGGAAAGGAATGATGGATGGATGGATGGATGGATGGGTAAGGGTGGATAGATGGTGGATCGATGAATAGATGGATGTGTTAATGGTTATAGGTGGCCGGGGAGAATGTATGGATAGTTTAATCGACAGATAAATGGCCCGAATGAATGGATGGACAGATTGATGGATGAACCAATGAATGAATGAATGGATGGATGTATAGATGGATGGACCCATAAAGAAAGAAAAAATGATGAAAAAATGAAAATACTTACTTGTTGAACAATGCTATAATCTAGAGAAACGGCAATTCTAGTCGACATGTTAATGAATTAAAATGAATCACAATTATTAAGGGAGGGCGGGGCTCGTCCAGGCCTATACCTATCTAAAAAATGGTATTATAAGTATCTAAATTGAATAAAAAGGAAAGCTAAGCTTTGGGTGGTCCAAAAGGCATGCTAACCTCACCTGGGCATATGTTGCCAGACCAGACAAACTAGGCTTAACCAAACTAGCCTTCAATTAAATAAATTATACACATTCTTTTTGGTTCGACGTCGTAATAATTTATGTACGAAAGTGTGTTCTTCAGGCATATCGCTTCTTCGATACATGGAAGAAAAACTAATATCCAAGTAATCAATATTGTTGGAATATAATAATAGGCCTATATTTGCCACTGTCTCTGATATTTTGATAACCACAAATTTATAAATAACAAAAAATGTAAAAACATTCTACTAGAAAAACACATTCAGTTCTTGTTTAATTACAGTGTCTCTTTTGTTAAAATATGGCAGCATAAAAAAAATTAAAAAAAATAAATTAAAAAAAACACAATGCTAGTGTGCAGGTAGAATACATAAACACTATTCAAATCGTAGCAGAATTTAAGGGGTTTAATGCTTAGAAAACTCTCGCACACAAACACACCCATACGATAACTTATTTTACAATGAGTTTTTACATTCGCGGACGACATAAAATATTATGATTGACATTTGAGGTAAAATGGAATTTTTACATTATTTTGTAGGCGAAATGGTTTACATTTGTGGCGAAGACGTTGTTTACACTCGTGGGCAAAGTTTTATTACATTTGTGGTTTTTTTACATTTGTTGTTGACATGTACATTTGCAGTTATTATGACATTTGTAGGTACAATGTTTTTACATTTGTGGTTAATATTACATGTGGTAGATTTTTACATTTGCAAGCTCTACACGGCCCAGAGAGGAACAGCTAGAGAGGGGTCTACCCACCTCAGCCTCACCATACGTTGGGCTCAGGAATAGAAATGTTATGATTATGGCACGTCCCTAGACGGAAAGGGCACTCTCAGACATACATAATATGAATATTTTGCTCCATTATTTTCTTTTATTTTGAAACATAGAGGTAGGT